ACCATCCCACGGCCCCACCACCGAGGTACAGTGTGCAACAGGAGCACACTAAGCACCGCTGAAAAACCTCCGCGAACAGCAGGCCTGCTCGCGATGACGGATGGCCGGGTGATGGGTTTGTGCGCACAGAGAGGCGCCGACGACCGCCGGTGACGCGGCTGCGGCCTGGCAGCGCGGCGGTACAAATTTGTTTTCGACGCGGGATGCGCGCAGCGGACGCGCCGGCAAGTGTGCAGCACGTGATTTGTCAAACTGGCCTGATGGAGGCGGATGAAGAGAGAGAGAGAGAGAGAGAAAGAGAGAGAGAGAGAGAGAGAGAGAGAGAGAGAGAGAGAGAGAGAGAGAGAGAGAGAGAGAGAGAGAGAGAGAGAGAGAGAGAAAGGGGGAGAGAGGGAGGGAGGGAGGGAGAGGGAGAGAGAGAGGGAGAGAGAGAGGGCGGGGTCCGATGAGCGTGCCTATCAGTGTGTTGTGTAGCCACTAGCCACTACACTAGCCGGTAGCAAACATTGGCGGTGCGTTAGATCAGCCGCCGAGTCGCGGTCCAGGCGAGGGCGTGGTCGCGGGCGGCGGTGGCACCTCACTATTTATACCCAGCCGACAGCCGACGGACCACCGAGATTAGAGCCGGCCGCTGACGGACCGACGACCGACCGACAGGCCGTCAGCGTCACCGTCCGGCCGTCAGACGGGTGACGGCGACATTAGACGGGGTGACGGCCACATTAGACGGGTGACGGCATCATCAGACGGAATGACGTCGGTGTGATGTTGCCGAAATAATGACGGAAACTCTAAGGAGTGGTGTAGACTGGAGCATCAGTGATGGAGGAGCAGAGCGTTATGGTGGTTTTATCAGAAGATCAGCTTTATCATCAGTCGGTGGTAGAGACGGCACGTCGCTATTGATGTTACGATATCAGCTCCCTCCCCTACGGTAGTGGAGCGTTAGCGTACGAGATAGTTAGATAATCGCGCCTCGTACACATGAACACTATCGCGGGGCAGTAGCTGATCGATAATGTAATCGCATAACACGGCATCCGTCGCAGGTGCGCACGCACATACGGAAGCCAATTAGGTGGCGCGGGAGGTAGCGCCGTCAATTTGTAGGAATGGACCAAGAATCAGCTTCTGTGCGTTCCTGGTCTCTGATGCTATTACTAATGAGGAAAGAAAGCGATCGGTTTAGTTTTACTACACATGCTATATAAAGGGAGAATGGGAACGGGATGATTGCATGTCAAGTTGTGACCTAAGACGAGGTCTGGAGCGACTCGGGGCCAGCAACTCGGTTCCAGTACGCAGGTGGATCATTCCAATGGCCTCCTCATGGCTGATACCACGTGCCATGTGTTGTGTACCCGCCCGGGTCGGACCGGGCCGGCCCGGGTCGGTCTCAGGGCGGTCGGACGGGGCGTTACCGGTCCCTCTGGCCGACCACCGCCGCCGGCTGAGAAATGAGCGCGTGCCCGGGCGCCGCGCCGCGATGGTATCGGGTCACCACGGCGCCGCTGTCCCGCCCGCCGCCACCCGCAACAATGCGCCGTTTTTGTCACTGGCCCGTGTCGCGCCAAACATGTTTACATCAGTCACCGCCGGCGCCGCTGGACGCAGCACCGGCATTGTCACCGCAGGCTGGGCGTCAATACTCACTAACGAGGCGCGATAGGTGGCGCCCCGCGGCGCTCTATAGGTGGCGCCACAGGACGGTCGTGGTCCACGGGGCTGCAGGGAGGTCGCACAGGCGATGGATGGCAGGTCAGGAGGTCAGTAACAATGTGAATATGAGCCTTTATGTTGAGTCGAGAGATGACACGAAGGCATTTCTGAGCATTGTTTCTTGGTCAACAGCTTTATATTCTCATGCGCATAAGCACGTTTTCGATAGGTAATCATAAACATGTCTGATGTCGAGTTAACGAAAAAGGGTTTAGGTATGCGAGTGTGGTCCGAGCAGCTTAGAGGGGGAGAGGCAAACACTGGTGATCTCTTATCTGTGGCCCAAGCTAGCCAGCCAAAATATTTCAGCGCTTAAATTTTATATTAAAAGAATCCCTTCTCCATGTACAACTTTTTGTCAAACCATGTGAAAGTAAAACCGTTTAAAAATTATTGTCACGAATGCTGACTGCGCCATCATGCTTTTAAACTGAAGCTAAGAGCATTTAAATGGTTTGATAGCACTATTAAATTGAATAGCATGTTCATTGCCTAATAAAATAGGCAATAAATTCTTATGATTCTATAACAAGTCCAAAAGGCTAACCATGGTCGATTAATTTAAACACCGTGCTTACTTTCCTTCCAGTTTCGATCAACATAAAACTACACCACCTACCGTTTTAAATCTTGTGGATAATCCACGGGCTACGTAGGTGGGTAATATGGGTACTAGGACTACGATCAAATGAGGCCAATTATTTTTCAGGCTGATGCCTGGCGCAACAATCGGTGAGGTGAATTTGCTACCGTTTAAATGTGTCACATCCGTGCTAGATTTCACAATAGGAAATACGATCTTGTGATGAAGAAACTAAATGTCATGATAGCAAGGAAAATTGTCGGACATGGAGACGTCATCATACAAAATATAACACATGTCTTATGGAGGCTAGGCCATTGAATCTGTTTATGAGAATAGCATGCACCGTTTGTAATAAGGTTCGGACTTCGGAACATCAGCGAATAGCATTGTCTCTGCAGGTTTTGTTGTTGTGCATGCTTTAGCTAATGACAGGGCTGTGGATGCGAGCTCGTTCACTGCACGTGGCGTTCAGACGGCAGCCGTCAGGTTGCATGTCAGTGCAGGGTTGCAGATAGTCATCGATGGTCACGCCACGACGGAATAACCAGCACGTCTAAATGGCTAGATCACCAAACACGGACCACTGGCACAGCAGAAAACCCATTCCTTTCCAATTTTGCCAAAATAAATAACATGAACAATTTGTCCAGGAATCACTGTCAGAAATACAACCCTTTGACACGCGCTGTGGCGACAAATCTTCCGGGACATTTGTTGATATTTACTGCCTTCATATATCGTTCGAAATATCCGAGTGAGGGGCACGCCCGACAAATGAAATGGCTAGGGCTGGATCGGGGAGGGGTCGAGGAATTCACGGTCCCCGAGCAGCCGAGGGCTGGCCCAGAAATTCCGTGGCGGTTGATGAGCATCATTATACGCTATCGCGAGCGTCTATTGTTAAAAGTCATCGGCTCAGGACTGGCCTTACCCCTGTTGACTTTTATTTCACTCCTAGCATTATACCTACCACAGCCCTCTTCTACATTTCCTAGGTTGAGCGCTGCAGAGGCCAGAGAGTTACCGATTGTGACCAGCACCATTGATGTTTGTTATCTTCTGCTACCAGATGAACTTGTCACGTCAACTATAGGACTATTCGTGCATAATCACACACACACGAACAGAAATAATCACTCATGCCGGATCGGGAAACGAACGGGCTTGTCCAGTGCTGTAGGAAAACGACCTTTTTGTATGTAACGCTGTCAGCGAGAGAGACCTCGTCATTGTTCAGTGTGCTCCTCAGTCATTGCACAAAGGCCTGTTGTATTCAGCGTCGCGACTGAGGACAAGACGAATAGCCACGCGCGTTCGTTTGTCACTGCGGAAAGGCAGTTCGAGTGAAGTGTGGGTGATGCAGATATTGGGGACAGCCAGGGGATGGTGGAGGACATCGGGTAAGGCAGGGGACGGCTGGGAAAACTATACGGTTTGGGAGACGGTTGGGATGACCTCAGTGATCTCACGGGGAGACAGAGCAGTAGAGGCGGAACACCTTTAGTTAAGGGGGGGCACTGCCGACTTTTGGTCCCATTCTTTCCACGTAACGCCCATAGGGCTAATGTTAAAATGTCAAAATCAAAGGGGGGCACGGTGCCCCGGTGCCCTCCCCGTTCCGCCGCCTATGAGACAGAGAGGTGAAGAGGTCATTATACCTACTTAGGAGCCATGACGGTGTTGCTATAAGAGGGAAAAGTGTCGGCCGCCGCCCTGGCTCGCGTGCTGACCACGACCTTTTTCAGCACAATTGTCATACTCATAGTGTGACCTTACACCTCCGAGAGTCCCATTCGTTTGTGCTCAAACATTAACCCACGAGCCGCTGGGGGGGGGGGGGCATAAAGTTGCCCCCCCCTTTACGTTTTGTGAAATATCTCCGAAACCTGATGAGCTACGAACGTGAAACTTGGCATAGCTTCAAATGAATACCTAGGCAATGTTTGAGGAAAGTTTGGTGGTTGTAGCACCTGAGATGACGTCACAGTGACGTCATAAAGTTTTGTCGTTTTCCGATATGGACCGTTTCTGATGACGCTGAGCATGAAACTCAACTGTAAATGAACTAGACAGCACCTGCTGTCATCCTAAAATATCTAACTACACTTCCATCTAGTTTCTGACCAATAATCGACCCTTTATATTCGGTCCCATATATCTGATGTATCGTGAGGGAGGAATATAAGAGTCACAAATCTATAATTTCACTTATGACGTCACTGTGACGTCATTTCAAATGGGATCGACACCAAATTTGGACACAACCTCGGCTAGGTATTCAGGAAGATGTGTGCAAAGTTTCGCTTCTCTATCTCTTCGCGTTGCGACGATATCGTCGCAGAAGTAAAGGGGGGGCAACTATATGCCCCCCCCCCCAGCGGCCGGCGGGTGGCGCGGAGGCCCAGCGGCCGCCGTGTTAACGTAACTGGCGGCTATGCTAATGTGAATGTAGGCCCAGAGAAGATGCAGGTCGGCGGGAAATCACCTTAGCTCTGCAGTCCGAAAGTTGGCCTATCCCCGACCGTTGTATACAGCAAGTTCGATGCATTGTAAATCGTGATGGGTTCGCCATCAGAGTGGGTACCGAGGGGCCTTCCCGAGCGCCGCGCCGCGCTGCCACAGTGCGGGGAACCTGTCGGTTCGCGGTTTTCCCCGAGTGAGAAGGGTGTCCGCGCCGAGCCGACGAGCCGGCACTGTTGGCGGCGGCGAGGGGTGGTAGACGGACGGCGGTCGGCGCGGGTCGGACAGGACAGTGAAGAATGGAGACCGGACGACCGTCGGTGGTCGGCCTGTTGTTGGTGCTGACGGTGCTGGCCGGGCTGACCTGCTCTGCACGCGCAGCACACGATAGAGGTGAGTCCAGCTCATCAGTGGTGGGCAAGACCGTTTGGGGCTAATTAGAGCAAACAGTGGGATTTATCTTTTTCGCTCACTGGGTCAGCTAAATAAATTTTGTGGTTCAATCGAACAGATGCCCATGGTTCTCGGTGAAACACGGACCATTCCATGTTTGATGCATTGGTAGAATGATGGTCAGGTTGCTGCAGCGGTAAAGAAATGCACGCAAAGACTCATCAGTGCCGGATGAATGTAAAACTTTTCTCACCTGGCGCCAACATTTTACATCTATTCCCGTCTTTAACCCGACACTCAGGCAAACACAAACTCATCATTGTGCTGGCTACCTATTTTGTCCTCCGTCGATCGGACTTGGACCCGTTGTTGAACAGTAAAAATGCATTGTTGTTTTGCTGAAGAGGTTCCTCGTAAGATGTTTAGGTATACTTTTGTACCAGTTCAACTTCTATAAGTTTCTTTCTGTCAAGTACGTCTTGCCAATCGCCATGTAACTAGGCGAAAAACAAACAAAAAAGTCGACCCTGCAGGTCCCTCCGGACATTGCTTGCGGCATGTTGTCCCGCAGGAGGAACGACTCGATAATTTTGCCATCACCGATTATGTGGAACACGTGATCGGCAGTCTGATTCATGCTTGCACAATGCTTTGATGCAGCACCGTTTCACAGTGCTTTTTTGCATGACACACCAAATTTAAATTGGATTTTATGACGCAACAGGAAAGCATCCTTTTCCTTCTTTCCACATTGGAATGTGAATTGTGTGGGACTGAAGTTATTAAACCGACGGCCATTTCATTGAGTTGCAATGTGACCTCATTTCTAAACCTTGCACAGCGGTGCCACATCCTGAAGGACGGCGGAACATAACCCTGTGCCCCTGCCTGTCCCCCAGAGCGGCGTCAGGCCTAGGATGGCGGCGGAACTTAAGCATGTAAGCCTTTCTGTTCCCAGAGCGGCGCCAGGCCCCGGACTCGGGCCCGTTCGTGCCGCGCTGCACCACCGCGGACGGCAGTGACGGCCTCTGTACGGAGCTGCGCGCCTGCCCGCCCCTCGACCACCTGCTCCGGCTCTACAAACGCAACCAGGCCGACCCATTCCAGCGGCTCCGGCTCCGGCAGGAGACGCTCAAATGCCACTTCACCGCCGCCCACGATCCGCGGGTCTGCTGCAAACTCAGCGCCATCGCGCCCGTCACGACCAAACCCCAGAAGCCGAGGCTGCCGCGCCTTCAGACGGCCGCCCCGGTCGTACTCGATCCCGTCACCCCGGCCCCGGTCACACCCGTTCCGCAGGTTCCCTTTGTCCCACCAGTGACACCGGTCCCCGATGTGATTCTGCCTCCACCAGCGACCCCCGTTCCCGATCCGATCCTGCCTCCACCTGAGACCCCCGCGCCTGTGCCCACCGCTGACCCCGCGGTAACCCCTGACCCCGTCGTGACCCCTGACCCCGCGGTGACCCCTGCCGCGCCCGTCGTCCCGAGCAAGCTGCCCGATGAGTCGGTGTGCGGTATGAGAACGTTCCTGTCACGGATTTTCGGCGGGCAGACGGCGGAGATCGGCGCGTGGCCCTGGGTGGTCTCCATCGGATACAGAGGTGAGAGTACACGGCGCTGCAGCTGATGCCTGATTGACTCCTTGCCGTGCCATTGCAAGGCTACATGCCATTCAATGATCACAGTCGAGCAGACGAGTACCTACCAACTGCATCCGTGAATATACCGATGCGCTGCCGACAAAGAAAAAGATCAACTTACACAGCTACAAGCTATATGAAAGACGTGGTGGCGCTCGAGACCTAAGACCCACAACATGTAAGCGCCTCTCGAAATAAATGCTTATTTTGGGACGGAAACGCCTCTAGTGAATTGAGTGCGCTGTAAAATCAGGATATTTGTTCATTGTCAATAGGCGAACATGGCTTATTGACGAAGCACGGTTATTATCTTTTTTTTTACCGCGAAGCCCATGCATCAACCAGCCCCTCCGGCCTCCTGTCTCATGTCTGACAACGGGTCATCTCTGTTGGACAGTGTCTGGGGCCCGGGAGATCCGCTGGCAGTGCGGAGGGACGCTCATCACGTCCCATCATGTGGTGACGGCCGCCCACTGCGTTACTCAGCTCGGCACCAGCGAACCGTGAGTTGGCCATACGACAACGGACAAACCGTGAGTCGGTCACGGTAAGCCGTGAATAACGGGCACGGTGAACCATAAGCTGATTACGGCGAACCGTGAGTGTCACGGTGAGCCTTGAGCTGGTCATAAGGAGAGCCGCGAGTCGGGCACGGTAAAAAGTGAGTCACGTTGAGCCGCGAAGTGTCACGGCGAACCGTGAGTCCGTCACAGCAGACCGTGAGTTTGTGACGGATAACCGAGCCGGTCATGCGGCTAACCGTGAGTTGGTAACGGAGCGGGAGAACCGTGATTTAGTCACGGCAAACCGAGGTTGGTAGCGGCGATCCGTGATTCGGTCACGGAGAACCGTAAGTCGGTCACGACAAACCAGGAATTTGTCATATGACGCACCGTGAGTTGGTGAGACGGAGAACCGTGAGTGTCACAGGCAGCGAGCCGTGAGTCGGTCCGGTCGCGGAGAACCGTGAACGTCAAGGTGAGCCGTAAGTCGATCATGGAGAAACGTGAGTCAGCCACGACAAGCAGTGTGTCGGTCACGGATAACCGTGAGCCGGCCATACGGCGAACCGTGAGTTGGTAACGGAGAACCATGGGTGTCACGGTGAGCCGCGTCGTGACTCGTGAGTCGGTCACGGATAACCGTGAGCCGCCCATACGGGAAACCGTGAGTCGGCGAAGGCGAACCGTGAGTTGGCCATACCATTGGTTACGGTATTAAATCAATCATTGGTGAGACGTGAAACCATAGGCGTCGCCAGAGATTTTCGGTTGGGGGGGCAAAATCAAATTTTGTGTTAAAACTTGCCTTTCCCCAGTCTTAACTCACTCGTTTTACATATCATTCAATGCGCAATGGTGCGAGGAATCCGATGGTGACAAAGGTTTTCTTCTAGCTATGACATGTAATTTTTTACAGAAAAATCGAAATATTGAAATTTCATGACAAAAACGACTAGTAGAATTATAGTATACAAAAAAAATCGAAATATTGAAATTTCATGACAAAAACGACTAGTAGAATTACTAATCGCAGCCACTAGTGTATAGTGGCTGCGATTGCCGACGCACTGCAGAGGGCCGCTGGCGGTGTGCAGACGCTCGACGCTCATAATCATTACCCAGAAAAAGGTGAAAAACGCTCCATTTAATCGGATCACCCTGCTAAAACCTCCATTCACGCATGCATGCAGAGGTTTTACGTAAAAATGTATAGGACTTATCCCAGCCGCCGATCATAGCTAAGTTGGGCATTCGGCGGAGAGTGAATGTCGGAAGTTTGAATCGGAGGTAATTCATCTTTGCTCCATGGTGAGAGGAAGTGTTTTGTTCACTCGAGTGTGAAAAAAGTTTCCCGTTTTTCGTGTGAAGGGAAGCGCTGCAAACGCGAGCAAAAACTGTTCAACGGAACCAAAAGTTACGCACAGCATAGCGGCAAGGGATCCCTTAGAGATAGGTTTGGGACTTTCAGGCCATTTCAGGTCACTCAGGGTCAGTGCTGACTGCTGACTCTCGGCAGCATGCTTAGGATCCCGGAGATCGGCGTGGGTCACCTCAAATATTTACGTGTACGTGGTGCTTTAGGGCTTTCCGAGCCCAAGGTGGGGCCCTAAGAAGCCAGTGTGGGCGGCGGGCGCTAAGAGACTAGGCCCAGGGTGAGCCTGGAGTCCTCGGATAACGTATGCACCTTCGGGGTCTGTTTCGAATCCCTAAAGACCCTACGCAGGGACATAATAAACATGTGTTGCGGACCTCAGAGGAACACGTGAGCTGTGACCCCTCAGATGCCGGCTTTGGGTTAGCAAAGTCTCAATAGTTTGGCTGAACTATCAGAGGCCAGTTAACCCCCGCCGGACCTATTGGTTTTCTACATACGCGCCGGCCGAGGGGGGGAGCGGGTACGACCCCCCCCCCCTCGCCGTTTCGCCCCTGGTGGAGCTAGCGCGTCGCGGAAAAAACGAGCGTGTGCGCCGTTACGAGACGCAGAGATTTGTACCCGATTTTAAGGTCCTAGGTCAACCGGTGACCTCTGAGGTCAGGTCAAGTGCCCCAGGGTACGGTTCAGTTTTTGGTGAATAACTTCGCAAAAAAACGGCCGCAGAGCCGCGATTTTGGCAGCATCGTGTTCGCCTCGCTCAGGCGCGTCGAATGATATACTTTTTGTTCGGGTCAGGTCAACTTAGGATGTTGACCTCAGGTCAAGGTCAGGTCAGCACCCCCAGGTCACGAAGTTGGTCGAAAGAGGTCATGTCGCATATTATTCGATTTGGCAGGTCTTCCTGAGTCCATTGGTGGCTTTCTCGACTCGCTAGCTCAATTTGGTCGGGAGTTATTGACGAAAAACTAATATGACCTTAATGACGTCATAAATGACGTCACGGAAGGTCAACATTGCACAAGTGACGCATCTAACCTTGCAAGGAGTGCATCAAATCACGATTCTGTGTGCTTGAGATAGTTGGAGATCGTTACCGGCGCCAGAAAAGCAGTTTTCATTTTTCCCCATTGACTTATAATGGTGAGGTCACGAAAATGACCTGACCTCATATGACCTTTAGGAAAAATCCGAGATATACAAGTCGTGAGACTCATAATGGATACTAGATCCTGCAAGTTTCATTTCCCTGTGACATCTCCTCTGGCAGTGAGGGCGTTGCGAAGTTGCGACATCTGAAGACCGTGCAGAGGTTCACTTATGACGTCATAGGTCAGTGACCTGACCTGACCAAAAAATGCGGTTGGTGTCAAAAGATGCGGCTTGGATCAAAGGTCAGGTATGCCAAGTTTCAGCTCTCTATCGCCAGCGTGTTCGGAGCTATCGCGAAAAAAACCTATGGGGGGGCGGCACCCGCCCCCCCCCCCCTCGGCCGGCGAGGGCTAAGGTTCTCAGAAATGTTCGAAGGCTCAAAGATCCCTGTATGGACCCTCAGAGAACATGGACACCAGTGGGACTTTCCGAGGCCGGTTTGGGCCCTCTGAAACCTTCTTTAGGGCTCAGTGGAGCTCCTTGGGAGCCTTTGTTTAAAGGGACCATCCCACCTTAACATTAGTTTTGAGTTGAGATAGCCAAGTTTGCGGCCAGGCTCAGAAACCACCATTTAGGCCCGGGCAGCGCTTGTCGAACAGCTCTGCGGATCCGAAGGTTGGGACTTTAATTGTGAAAAACCGCCCGCCCGCCGCAAAACGCAAACACCGCAAAACGCGCAAAACGCACGCCCAAAACGCCAACGCAAATGCCGCAAAAAAAACACGCCACGCCAAACACGCACGCCAAAAAACGCCCGTCCGCCGCAAAACACAAACACCGCAAAAAACGCAAACACCGCCGCCGCAAAAAAACGCCCGCTGCCAACCGCAAAACGCCGCAAAAAAACGGCCGCCCGCCGCTAACCGCAAAACGCCGCAAAAAACGGCCGTCCGCCGCTAACCGCAAAACGCCGAAAAAAACGGCCGCCCACCGGCAACCGCAAAACGCTGCAAAAAAAACGGCCGCCCGCCGGCAACCGCATACCGCAAAACGCCGCCCGCCTCAAACTGCCGCAAAAAAACGGCCGCCCGCCGCGAACCGCCGCCAAACACAAACAACGCAAAAAACGCAAATACCGTCGCAAAAACGCCCGCCCACCGGCAACCGCAAAACGCTGCAAAAAACGGCCGCCCGCCGCAAACCGCAAAACACCGCAAAAAACGGCCGCCCGCCGGCAACCGCAAACCGCAAAACGCCGCCCGCCTCAAACTGCCGCCCGCCGCCAAACACAAACAACGCAAAAAACGCAAATACCGTCGCAAAAACGCCCGCCCGCCGCCAACCGCAAAACGCCGCAAAAACGGCCGCCCGCCGCGAAACGCAAACACCACAAAAAAACGGAAAAGTCCCGCCCGCCACCAAACGCAAACCCCGCCGCAAAAAACACACGCCGTCCGCAAAACGCAAACACTGACCTATTAAGACAAATATGGCGCCGTGCGGCAAGTGTGGTGCATTTATTTCTGCCGTTTAAGCAGCCACCCTCAATCAAAGCGCATCCTCGGATTTTCCACGAAGTTCCTCATCAAACACGTTTCCACGTGGCACGTGCTTTTCAATCGCCCCATATCTGACCCATACCATGTGGTAGCCGTATAAAAATGTCTTATTGTATTGCCCGGCAACGGTCTGTCCCGTCTGTCCTGGCACGTGGCATAATTTTGGAGATAGGTATATCCTGTATGCTATTTGCGTGTAGTAATGAATACAACAAACACTAAGAATAGCTTGAGATAGCGGGATACGTTTAGTGAGATGGTTGCGTGCGAAAGTTATTTTTAACAACAGTTAGCTGCTAGAAACGTGCTGGGTATCAACAATTATCAAGCGTCAAGAAGTCTCATTATAAAGCGCAATACAAGTCGTACATTTATGATCGTATGAGACGTTCTGCATTGATCTTATAACCACTTTTCAAACAGACAAAATAGAAACTAAAAAAATAATTATGCAGCGAACTGCTATGTGAACTTCATTCGAAGTCAGGCAACCATCTCTCCGGGGGCGCCACGAGGAGGCATCCCACAGTGTGGCATATCGGCAAACACAGATCTGCTGTAGCAGGTGAATATTATTTACCCTGCCAATGGCATTGGCAGCAATAGCCGATATTCCCACTGTCCGCCCCCATAAATTTTGCCTGTGGCAATGCAAGCCACTCCATTCATTATGAATGGTTTACCTTATTGTTCAACATCAAAACTAATAATGGGTCAGCTACTCAGGACGAGTCAGCACCACCTAGCCTTACGTAACATACATTGCTTTTTTGCGAATAGTTGATGAATGCGTCTATAGCTTCAATTTAAAATCGGACGTCATTTACCTCAAGAAAAACTTTTAAAAGAATATTACTCAATTAGATAGTGACTACTTCAAATTTGGCGAAAAGTTTGCTGAATGGATATCAATGAGATAGGTCATTAGAACGCTTCTTTGAAGTTTCAGATTTAGACGTTGCAGCCACTAAAAACGG